AATGTTAAACAAGTTTCATGCAGAGTTTATGTACTGCTCACCATATGTGCATCAACTTCTTATTTTGCTGTCAGTGGTTTTATTATTTTCCATCTTTACCTCTAGTGTTGTGCTCAATGAGTGGGTCTGAAAGTGATAATTACTTCCCCACTGCAGAGACAAACTGATTTACATATTTATCAAGGGGAAACTGTACAGCTTTAAGCATATCAGAAAACATTTGCATATTTATAACCTGAAATGTGCAAAAGCTAAAATTAAGATATGGATGTGTTGATCTCAGTTACTAAGCTGATTTTTATACAAAGGTTTTAGTCAGTGTACTTTGTAATCAGATCAGTACATTAAAGAATGAAGTCTCTTTTTTATTACACAAAATCAGTATAGAGATTAAAATGTTTGTTAACGTGTTAAAGTTAGTGGGCAGAAGTTGCAACATTGTCTTTATAAGGTGAAAATATTAGCCTTTGAGCCTGGAAGAGATGATGGGGTTACCTTAATTTAATTCCTGTGCCAAGAAGAAGGTCCCAAGAAATTTAATATGTAGCGGATATTTAGCTAAATGACATCATTATCTTTTATGAGAGCAGTATAGGCTTCCAGATATTTATATGTGCAGGCGTTATGTGTAGGAAGTTGCGCATGTATTCAAAACACTCTTAGCTTGTCATTCTCAGACGTAAGCCCCTTCAGCTTTAAAACATGTTACTTGTCATTCTGATTAGTTATGCTATTCAAAAGCAAACATTAATATCAGCAGGGAATTCTGACATGTAAACTAAACAGAAGAAAATTCTCTAGGCAGAGATGTGATGGCTGATCTTCCCAGATCAATCTTTGTCCAATAATTATCTCAAGCTTACTATAAACTTCTGGATTTGACAGTCATGTCAACGTCTGCTGGGTGGGATGAAAAGTTCTATTAAAAGAAATTTCTTTTGTCATGAACTGTCTTGTCCTGAGCCATCTTTAAACCTCCTTCTGAATCTTACTTTACTTTGAATCAAGCAAGCTGTTTTAAAGCTTTCCTAATGAGTTGAGAGATCTTTTTCCTAGTGCCTACACTACACACATGTATTCTATAGTTTATATTCTAGAGCATTTTTCCCCCCATAATTTCATCAAGATTCTACATTATTTCAAATTAATACAGGTAACCCTTCTGTCTATTGACTTCAAATGACTGTAAGTTAATTATGAAGCAAATATATTTTTCATACACTTGCTTGACTGGATGAGATTTCCTAATTGTTAATACATTTGTAACACTTTATTGTTCAGTGTTTGTGCCATGTTTTCAAACAAGTAGTCATTTTTTATAAATCCTATAACATAATGTGCGTGAGCATAGAGGGAATCTTACACGGTTAAAAACTTCAAAAATTAAAATCAGCATTATATAGGTAGGTTCAGCTTCCATTTATGCTCGTGTTAGTCAAGTTGAATAGTGGCATAGTGCTGTCTGTTTCCTCCTAAAGAGTAGAGTCAATTGCTTTCATCATTTTTACATGAGTATCAGTCCACTGAAGTCAGCATTTTCACTTTCACAATGAAACAATCCTATAATTTAACATAGCTTGAAATGAGAGTGGAGAACAGAACGTAGAGAGCTCAGCATTTTTCAGAAGAAGCTTTGCTTAAATTTTGAAACATCATCTTAATTAAAACAGGCAACATCTTAATGCTATTCTGAATTATTTATTTATTTATTTTTGTGTAAATGAAAGAACATTGTGTAATGATCATATGTCTCTGACTCAATGTTAGCCACTGAATTGGAATATACATTTCTAGAATGCTAATAGGAGGAGAAGGTTGAATGAAATTATAGTTGCTCAGTAGGTTCAGAATTTGTGCAGCTCTTTCAGTGTTAAGTTTATTTTGTTGTTTGGAATGCTGTCTTTCAAAATCTGTTCTGTTCAAACCAGAAATATGTAAGCAATGGCATTCACCAAGATCAGTATGGATCTTAATTTTTTAGAACAAGACTTTCAACTCAGTCTTTTTGATAAAGCATCTTTCTATTTTTATTAATAGTTTCCTGCATTGGGGATTTCAAGCCATCATTGCTAAAACTGAGCTACAGTTTTCCAAGTGTTTTGACTTATTTATCCCACAGTTTCATATTCTGAATAAACTTTTTACTTTTACAAACTTTTTACATTTGTATTTTGTTCAGAAACTAGAAATGGGATTCAAACAGATCAGCTAGGCATGCAAAAGCCCCATTCTTTTAATCAAAGATCATATATGACGACGTATGATAAGTATCCAGTCATATTTTGTGGGAAGCAATACTGTTACCATCTTACTCTGATCGCATTTAGCTGTCCACAACAGTAATGAAAATTTAACTTATGTAGTAAATTTCTTGCATTTCAGATTACTTTGTTTGGTCTCTAATGTTTACTTTTACTAATATTTACTTTTCAATTAATTGCCTGTTTTTTCTTTTTAGTCAATAGATTTTTTAAAAAGGCCTTTTTGCAGTAATGATTCACCTTTTAAAAAGTTAGTCAGCTAAAACAGCCTGGGTGAAAATCCTCCTTGTTCATTAAGTAAGATTATCTCAGTATGTTTATACATCAGTCTTAGCTTAATTCTAAAGTATCTTTATAATCTGAAGAAATAATAAAATTAGAAGAGTAAAAAATACACATATTGTTATTGGAAAATGATAAAATTTATATTTTGCTTATTTTATATTCTTTGCTTTCAAAATTAATATAATGTATGGCAGTATGTCAAAGATATCTGCTTACACTACATGCATTGCATTTTTATTGTTTTGGCTACCATTTAGAAATGCTAATAAATAGATGTATGACATATGTTAACAGAAACCATATCATTCAGATGTACTTTAATGGATCTTATTTTAGACACTTTATCGGTTATTTATACAGTGTTCGTTATAGAAGGTGTAGCTGTTCAAGATAAGAATAGAAACCGAAGCTTTGGTTCATTTCTGTGAGTGCATTGAGAATGTGAGTCTATGACAATAGTGTGTTATTTGAATTAATTAATTCTGAGAGGACAATTGAGCCAGTCAAAATTAACATTCAAATTGGAGCGTGCCAGAATGTATAAATAAAAAGGATCAAGAGAAAATCACAGAATCACAGAACTGAAGGGGTTGCTAAAGTAGGTACCCTACCATAGGCCACACAGGTAGGCCTCCAGATGGGTCTTGTATATCTCCATAGAAGGAGTCTCCACACCCTCTCTGGATAACCTAACCTGTTCCAGTGCTCTGTCATCCTAATCAGAAATAAATTCTTCCACTTGTTAGTACAGAGCTTCCTATGTTCAAGTTTTAGGCCATTACTCCTTGTCCTATTACTCCGCACCACTGACAAGAGCCTGACCTCATCCACTTGCCTCCCACCTCCCTTCAGATAGTTATGAACATTAATCAGATCCCCCCCAATCTTCCTTTTCCCTGGCTGAACAAACTCAGGTTACTCAGCCTCTCCTCATATGGGAGATGCTCCAGGCCCTTTGTGGACCTCTGCTGAACTCCTTCCAGGAGATCCCTGGCTTTTTTGATCTGCAGAGCTCAGAACTGGATACAGTATACTAAATATGGCCTCACTAGTGCAGATTAGAGGGGGGGAATCATCTCCCTCAGCCTGCTGGCCATACACTTTTTAATGCACCTGAGGATATCATTGGTCTTCTCGGCCACAAGGGCACACTGCTGGCTTATAGCCAACCTCTTGTCAACTAGGACTCATAAGTCCTTCTCTGCAGAACTCCTCTCCAGCAGATCGACCCCCAGTATGTACTGATGCATGCTGTTATTCTGCCTCAGGTGCAAGACTGAATGTACACTTGTTCTTGTTAAACCTCATCAAGTTCTTTCCAGCCCAATTCTCCAGTCTCTATAGGTCTTGTTGAATGGTAGCACAGCCTTCCAATCTGTCAGCCACTTCTCCTAGCTTTTTGTCATCAGCAAATTTGCTGAGTTTGGACTCTATCCTTTCATCCACATCATTGATAAAGATGTTGAACAAGACCAGAACCAGCACTGACCTCTGAGAAACACCACTAGTTACAGGCCTCAAAAATTATCTTTATATGCTTTGGGATCCCTGAAGAATAAGGTTAAAGCTTATTTGCAGGCTAATGTGTGCTATATTCTTATTCTTTGGTTAGTTTCCAAGGCCAATAATTTTCGATTCCTAATCAGTATTAAATTCACTGGAGCAAGTTACAAAGAGTTACAAAGAGTGGTTTCACACTCATTAGTACAGAAGCCTTCTTTAAAGAATTCGGTCTAAATAGATGTAGATGTATGTGCAGTGCGAGACTCCTCTGCTGTGCCAAGGGAAAGAAGTCTTTTGTGTAAATGAATGTGAGGACTGACTCTGTGTTGGAATTTCAGAGCATAACCATGTGGATTTTTCTTTTAATTATGTGCACACGTGTGCTTGTTACCTTGCATATTAAAAGTTAATAGATGTCTATTGTTGTATGACAACAAATTAGTGACTAATTAGTAGGCTTGATCATGAAACCATGTTGCCTCCAAAACCATTCCATACCTTAACTTTTTTTTTTTTTTTTTTTTTTTTTTTTGGTTGAGAATTTCTTATTCTAGCATTCACATGGGTTTTTGCCATGTTGCCTCTACTGGTTGCTAGGCAGCACAGCTTTACCCCCAAACTCTTAACTATATTCTGTATACTGAGACTCTTTCAGAAACCTCAATGGTTTCTTGCTGTGGAGTTTTTGTCATTGAGAGCAACTGCTTCCAAAGATCACTGGCTCTCTGTGGATTAGCTCATTTTTCAGTTGTACACAAATCTTCTCATTTTATACTTCAGGAAACACCACTGCAATGGAACCATAGTCTTGACTGCAACAGGCTGTGTAAAATTGTCCCCTTCTGCATCCTGTATATTGTCAATTACTATGTGTATTTGTACTTGCCAAGATTAATTACAACAAGCCACCCAAAAGCACTATGTTTTTTTATTATTATTATTTCTTTTTAGGACAGATTCTGGATGTGCTGGAGAATTATAATCTGAGCAACAGATCTCTTGTATACTTTTCATCTGACCAAGGGGCTCATATTGAAGAAATCTCTAGTTCTGGAGAAGTCCATGGAGGTTGCAACGGTATATATAAAGGTGAATGTTCCCTGATGTTTTGTTTTGTTTTTTTTTTTTTTAATTGTGTCAGAAAATACTGTCTTGGTTTTTTTTTCTAAATCTGTAATATACTCTAGGGTCAAAAATTTCAAAATTTCAATTTCTTAATAGTAAATGCTCATGACCTTCACACTAAATCCAAGCACAGGCTTGGATATATATAATACAATGAAGGACTGAAGACTTTCAAGACAAGGCTGCATCAGGCCTTGGGCAACCTCGTCTACCTGTGGATGTCTGTTTTCATTGTAGGGGAGCTGGACTAGATGACCTTTAGAGGTCCCTTGCAACTCTAAGATTCCATGATTCTATTGACCTGGTGTAGAGCAAACAAAGGCAATGACAGAGCCTTTACTTGAGAAATAGGTGCTATAGGAGAAGATATCCATGAGGAATAAACTCACCCCTCCCAGTAACAGTTTGGAGAAAATGATGAACTGAGGAATGTGATCCTCCTCCATTCATACCATCGCGCCGCAGCAGAGAAGGGTGGGGGGAAAAGGGAGGCTCAGATGGCAGATGGGAACTATTGTGGAGACAGAAGGAATGGATCTAAACCCCCCTCCCGCCACTCCAGACACTCATGTACTCACATAGCTCACCCATTGGTTCAGGCTGTGACCTAAGAATTCCACTACACCTGGATAGACATAGACTGGATTGACCTGGATAGACTGGATTGATGGGCCAAGGTTAATTATATGAGATTAATTATGGCCAAATGTTGGGTCCTGCATTTTGGTCACAACAACCCCAGACAACTCTACAGGCTTGGGAAGAAGTAACCGGAAAGCTGCCTGATGGAAAGGGATCTTGGTATACTGAGGGACAGTCGGCTGAATATGAGCCAGCAGTGTGCCCAGGTGGCCAAGAAGGCCAAGCGTCCTGGCTTATATCAGGAATGATGTGGTGAGCAGGACTACGGAAGTAATTTTCCCCCTGTACTCAGACTTGGTGAGGCCCCACCTTGAGTACTGTTTTCAGTTGTGGGCACCTCAGTACAGAAAGGACATGGAGGTGCTGAAGCAGGTCCAGAAAAGGGCAACAAGGCTTGTGAAGGCCTTGGAGAATATGGCCTACGAGGAGAGACTGAAGGAATTGGGGCTGTTTAGTCTGGGGAAAAGGAGGCTGAGGGAAGGACCTTATTGCTCTCTTTCAATATCTGAAAGATGCTTACAGTGAGAGTGGGGTTGATCTCTTCACACTGATGACAGGTGACAGGATGAGTGGAAATGGCCTCAAGTTGCACTAGGGTAAGTTTGGGTTGGATATCAGGAAAAACTTTTTTATGGAAAGGGTTGTTAAGCACTGGAATAGGCTCCCCAGGGCGGTGGTCGAGTCACCATCCCTGGACGTGTTTAAAAACAATTTGGATGTGGTGCTTAGGGACGTGATTTAGCAGAGGGTCGTTAGAGTTAGGGTAGTATGGTTAGGTTGTGGATGGACTCGATAATCTTTTCCAACCTGAGCGATTCTGTGATTAAACTGCATTATCTTTTTCATGGCTCACCTTTGAACTCACTCCGTGTCCATATCTCTTCTGTACTGGTGATCCCAGCACTGAAATCAGCATTTCAGGCATGTCTCATTAGGTCTGAAAAGAATGAAAGAATCACTTGTCTTGACCTTCTAACAACATTCTTCGTACTGTAGCCACAGATATTGCTAGCCTTCATTGCCCCAATTCTACACTGCTACCTCATATTCAATTTGTCATGTCCCAGGACCTGCAGATATTTCTCTGCAAAGATGGTTGGTCCCTAGCCTTTCCTGATGCAAGGGCACAGCAGATTTCTCCACAGAGGCAGTTTTGGCACATCCCTTTGCAGAACTTCATGAGTTTCCAGTTAGCCAATTACTCCATCCCATCATGGTTCCTCTGGATGGCAGCATGATCCTCTGGTGAATCTGTCTTGTAACATCTGCAAAACTGCACAAAGGAAGAAAGATATGTAGAGTACGCAATAACAGCACAGTGAAGTTTTCAAGTGAAAGGACTCCACTCTTTTTAGTCAGCAGGCATCTTTCTGAAAAATTACCCTTGGATTTTAAGAGAGCTACAAAGGAGTTGCTATACAAGCAAAACAAGTAATGCGGAAGTCATGAGGTTACAGAGTATCATGTGGATTCCCTTGGGTTAACACCACAGTGAAATCTATCTTAAACATTAGCACATAAGACTTATGCGGTGCTTTAAGTAATTAAGGAACCATATGGTTACATATTTGTATCTGAAGGCACAGCCTGAGGTGCTTTAGAAGCTCCGAAAATTATTTCCCTTCTAGGATCCTGGACCTAAGACAGAGGATAAATGATGACGAGAAAGAAAGATCACAAGTACTCTGGGGAATATGCCTTTCTGTGGAGTAGTTTGATTGAATGGAGTATTTTCTATTAAGCTTTGCAGAATTTTGTATTCATTCTTACAGAACAGAGAGCAATTTGAAATAGATCTTATCTGAATTAATAAAAATCTGATTGATAGGGTTATCTTGGGAATAGTATGCCTTTTATTTTCAAAATGAATTATAACATGGCTTGCAGTTGCCTCTTAGGCTATACTGGAAGTACTGCAATGTACTATGAAAAAAATAATTGCTACGTAAGAAACAGTTATTGTATGAGAGAGATTTTTAACAAAATACAAAGAAATTAAGACCTTTGCAATCAGCTGAGTATATATTTTCAGTTTTAAAATACAGTGAACTCTGTTTTATCTTTCGCTGTCTCCATCTCTGTATCAGTCCTCAATTTAACAAGTATATTAAGAATAATTTGCAGAAGACCTGAAGTGGATACTATCGATTGCATAATAAGCAATTTTCATACATAAGGAATTATTTATATTTGCCGTCAAGTGTTAAGGCTCTGTACATCTCTGGTAGAATTAGAGAAAAACAGACCTGTGAAGTATGTAAATCTCAGACACTGTTGTAGCAGCGTGGCTGAAAAAGTAAAAAGAACAGTCCCTATATGCTTGTGGTTATGTGTGCATGCACTAGGAGCTTTATTCATTTGCAAAACTGGGAGACATTTGCATCTTTCTTCCCTGCATTTGGTAGATAATCTTACCTTTTTGTATATGAGTGCTATCTGAATGTAAATATGAATCAAGACGCTTAACCCTATTGTTGAAGCTGGTACAATATATTTAGCAATAATTGTACTGCCCTAAATCAAAAGCTCTCAACAGATCCCCACAAGTTGTACTCACTAATTTGTCTTAATATCCAGCCAAATCAGCACCAATAATAAAATTTAAGAGGAGTTTGGAGACTTAGGCTTTCACTGCAAGACTGAATGCCAAAAAAATATTATTTGAGGTTATTATTAGTCTAGATTCTGATTGTGGAAGATCACTAAATTTGGATATCTTTTGAAATTAGAAACCAGAACTAACATGGTGTTAAAGTAGTTGATACCTAGTGTGATTTTCCAGTATCCTTTTTTCTTAGAAGATATTATAAGGTAATATGGAAGTGATGGATTAAAACAGTGGGCCCTCTTTCCAGTTACCTTTTTCTGACAGATGTCAAAACCAGAAGCCTCTGAGAAAGACGCAGGAGCTATGCTTCTCTTCTTCAGAGAAAACTTCCAGTATGACCTTGGTTTTAGACACAAATCTTGACAATTACAATTCTAGAAAGGCTTTTAGCATTAACTGTTACAATTTTTCATCATATAAGTATGAAGGTCCACTTTGATTTTAAATTCTTTAGCAATGAAATCCATATTAAAGACAGTCACTGTTTTGAAGTGGGACAATTTCAGATTCCATTAAACATCTCCTTGAAGTGTAATATTTCTTATTTGATAAAGGAGTAATAAGCCGTTATATCTTCCTTATCTTACCTCTCTTTTCTATATTTTCATTATGCCTCTTTCCCCTTAATGCTTCATTCGGAAAAATATTGTCTGGTTAGTGTCTGCTCTGTTTGATTGATGTGTTGTCCCTTGTCCCTGATTTCTTATTGTGGATTTTTTTTCTTCTGTGAAATATTTCTAATTGTGCAATACATTCTCTTGAAATAGCCTTTTCATATTTTCCATGAATATTACTATTCATTTATCTATTAAAATTTTTCTGTTAGCATCTTCATTTTGTATCCCACCCTCTATTTTTTCATTTTATTGATTACAAGTGTGCTTTAAACATTAGGATTAGCATAGGTCCATTTTACTGTGTGTACGGCTAAGCTCACTGTATGAATAACTGAGAGCATAGACTCTAGCTCAGTTATTTTTTCTATATTTTCCATTATAGAAACATATTCATATAGAATTTGAACTTGAATCTTGTCATCCTTCTTCATCCCACTTGGCAAGAAGTCCATTCTCTTTTCTCCTGAATTTCACAGATCAGTGATACAGTGTGTCACATGTAGATTTTGTTCAGTTTTACAACTCTCTCCAGTTCCAATATTGAAGTAAATATATTAAAATAATGGAGGACATAGTGCAGGGTAGAATGTGTCAGAACCTATTACATTTTTTTTCCCCAACTGTTAGTCAGATTTTGATTCATGACAATTTTTGGTCCCCTAGCCCATATTTAATATTCCAGAAACTTTTCTTGAAGGTCCTGATCATGGATCTTTTGAAGTCTTAAATGTAGATACAGCCTCTGTAGCAAAAATTGAATGACTATTTTAGTAGGATCTTCTGCCCAGCATGATTGAGTGATTCTTCTGAATGATTCTTGCGTGCACACTTGATAATATACTTTTTCCTAGCTTCTTAGTGTGTTTTTAAGTAATTACTTTCTCTTGGAAATGTGTCAATTCCACGTGAACCTCTTTGACCAATAAGTTCTTTGCATCCTTTAGGCCCATCAGTTCCTTTGGAATCCTCCGGTTAATGATACATAGTGAATGATACGTGACAAAACCAATATTTCTTACTGACTTATCCCCTAATTTTCACATGACATCTATTATAGATCTGTGAGTGCTCAACACAGAACAGTGAAAAGAATTAGCTGATATTTTTACTGAAATTGAAGCATTTTTACTATACTGCGGTGACCAGTTCATTCAGCAGTGTTTATGTTATTAGTAAACCTTTTCCTTTCTGTAATTCACAGAGAAATCTAATTGACTCTTATTTCGGCTGCAGAAACTGTGCTAATAAATATCTAGTAATGTTGGTTGAAGTTTCTCTTTGGACTTTAATAAGCACAGGCATTGAATTTGTTTCCATTGTGCTGTATTCTTCCATTCTCTGAAGTGGTCCAATTATTTTTATTTTTTTTTTAATAATCCAGCCATCTTGTAATTTTGACTGAATCAGAAAATATCTTGAGGGAGAATTTTACTTATTTAGAAGAAAGATGAAGATGATAATATGTCCATATGATCTGTATCTTATTAGTTTCACTTCTATAGGAACAGTTCAAGTTGAAAATTAACAAAAGAAGTACATAAAAAAGGATTGAAAATCGGTGTGATAATGAGTATGCATGCAAGTGAAAACAAATAGTTATTTGATACTTTTGTAAGATAGACAATAGCAACCAGATCTGATTATCAATATTTGTAGTGGAAAGTCTACAACAAAGAGGCAGGCAAACAATTAATTTCTTTGTATTTTCATTCACGAAAAAAATAGGTTTTGAAGGGCTTATTTTTATATGAATTCAAGCAGGAATGAAATGGTAGCATGGTTATAATCCAAATGATCCAAAAAAAGTTCTTTTAAATACTTTTCGTCATGCATCATTCAAAATATTAGTAGTGATATACCACAGAGTTCTCTTTTGTATATCAACTTTCATACAAGCTCTATTCCCAGAGTTAGGTAATAGCAGTCATTTTAAACCAGAGGGAGGGGAAAAAGAGGTATTCTTATGGCTAAGATTTGAGATGTAGTTAAAATGGAAATTTGAGATCATGTTGTGGATGACTGCAGAGAGTTATGTCTATTGCTTGTCTGCTCCTGCAGTTCTCAGAAAAAGGTAAATGTAGGCTGTTGTTCAATAAAATACTAAAGGATGCAACTATTCAGAGAGCTTAGATAGCTAAACATGAAAATACAGCCTGGGGTGTTTTATACTGTTTCAAAAACATTTCAGAATAATTTAAAAGAAGAAAAATAAAATATTGCTACTCTGTGTAGAGTTTGCCAGGCATACAGACTGCTAAGTTGCTGTCTTTTCTCTGTTTCAGTGTTGCTGACTCCAAGCAAAATAGAAAATTAATGAGTTAGAGTTTGGAATAGCAAGAGATTTTTTTTCTTACATAATGAGCTTTTTTAGAATTTTTTTTTTTTTTTAATATTTCAGCTGTTTGAATGTTTGCTTCATGTTTCAATCATCAATATGAAAGCTTGATATAAAAACAGGTAGCTTGAACAACATGGAACAGCTACAATTTTAAAGACAACAAATATAAAAACTTTCATACTTCATTTCAAGTAAATCTAGTGACGTCACTAAACAAAGTTTTAGTAAAGCAGGAAACCATGTAGGCATAGATAATAGAATACAGTCTTCCTCAGTAACCCTGTCATTCGTGCCCTAGTTCCCTGCTATTTTTCTATCTTCCTGATATTTCCTCTAGAGTTATAAAAAAATTATGCTCCAATTAGTCTTTTCAAAGGAAAACAGTCTCTTCTTCTTAGAAGTACACAAGGAGATAGTCCTACTGTGGAGTCCATTTTTTCTTTTTGTATCTCACAGTAGGCAGGCAGTTTGCTGTGCACTCTGTTTGTGCTGGGGTTATTTGGAAGTTTTCTATCTCTATAATGATTCAGGAAAATTGTGCTGTGAATTTAGTAGCTCTAAAAGTTATCCAGTATCTCAGGTTTAGAAGTTGCAATGTGTGTGGGAATGGGTTTCAACACTTACCTTGAAATTACTTCAGATTACACAAGACAAAGATCAAAGCAACAATAAAAATATAATTTATTTGAACAGTTCAATCTACAAAACACTGTTACTAGGTTCAGACAAATGTGCAGAAGTAAGAGGAGTGCAGCAATGAAAATTACCTTTAGAAGGTAGATACTGTCTCAGGATTTTCTCCACGTTGTACAGCCAACAAGCTCTTGTGATGTTTACACAGAACTAGGATCCGTCTCGTCTCAGTACATCACCTCCCTGGGATAAATTTTCACAGAAAAAATATCTTAATTTGCAAACATCTATAATTTAATATCCTTTTCCTGAGTTCATGTTCAGACTTAAGTACTCCTGCTCAGTAGGATTTACTGTGATTCATAAGTCAGTTGAGATATTAACCTTGACACTTTCCTGCTGGGTAACATAAAATGCCCAACTTTCTTTTAAAGTGCAAATGACTGTTGTACATGGAGAGGTAGAGACATCTTTTGTACAAAAGGTGAACAAAGTTTCTTGACATCTATCTGGTTTTTGAACTAACAGTATTAAATACTTGGCATACTTCCATCTGCTAAATGGTAGGGATTTAAAGCCAAATAACCAAATAACATCTTTATAAATTTAAATGTACATTTTCTTAGATAGTTATTTTGGAAGTCCCTTTTCCTTCAACAATAATTTAAACAAAAATAATCTTCACATCTAATTTCTAACTTTCAGAATAGATACTCATATACCTTATGGTGAGAAATAACATTTGATTAAATGTCAGGAGATGATGTTTAAGACTGGTCTTAAAAGAATAGCCTTGTTGAAATCAGAACACGCTCTGATTTCCAAGAACAGCTTAAGCTAAGATTTTTGCTTGTTGTAGTGTTGTATATTAGAAAGTTTAATTTTTGTAATGTCAGAGTAATAATTAATTATGTTTTCCTGGCCATTTTATACTATATAATATATTCAGCATTGTTTTGATGTTGATATTTGCATGTTTTGATGAAATCTATGAAGAAAATACACAGTAGTGTATTATAACAGAAAAATCACAAGCTAAAAGATTTCAGCCAGAAAATTCTCTCTACATGAACAGCTATAAAGTTGCCATCTTATTATTAAGCAATGAAAACAAAGGAAATATCCATTCTGAATCCTCCAATGCAGAAATGGAAAAAATCATGGAGAAGTCAAGACAGTATTGAAGATCTGAAAATCCTGTTGCATTGAAGTTCTAAGCCACTGAGGAATCAGAACTATTCAAACACTTTGTTATGATATTTTGTTTTATTAATTATTTATTTTTACTTGAAAAGGGAGAAACGAGTAATATTTGAACCATGAGTTACTGTTGGCTTCACACAACAATGTAATTTCAACACACATATTCCATTTCTTTCAGTTATTTCTATTGTTGTTATCATTGTAGCAAATTTCTTACCAGTTCATTTATTTAGAGAGTCCTGTAACATAGTTAAATTGATTATTCTAACTAAAAACTTTTGACACCATTTTAATAAAATATCATATATATTTCCTGGTTTTATACCTCAGACTGAGTCATACTTCAATTTATTTTGATTCCTGTTTTTTAGTTATGTCTGCATATATCTGTGAGATACATTTACTAGATCAAATTTTCTATGAGGATTTCTGCAAGCTGCCTTTTTATTTTCCATGATCATTATTTGTTTATTTATTATAACTAAATACAGTTTATAAGCTCTGTCTAATATATAGTAGTAGATTTACTATAGGAAAGTTTCTGATCATAGATGGGAAATGTAGTTCACTATACCGAGCAAGTTAAAATGCATTTAATGAAAAGATAGCTATAATTGGTATCTTGTGGGATTGTGTGCTATTTTTCTAAGAAGAAACTGGTATCTTATCAAACACTTTCTTTTTTAGGTGGAAAATCAACTAACTGGGAAGGAGGTATTCGTGTGCCAGGGCTTCTCCGTTGGCCTGGAGTGATTCAGGCTGGCACTTATATTGATGATCCAACGAGTAACATGGATATTTTTCCTACCATTGTCAAACTAGCTGGGGCACAGTTACCCTATGACAGGTATGTGTACTCAGTAGTTATAAACAGCTAGAACTCAGTATCGAGTGCTAATATTTCCCTTACTTTCTTTTGTAACTCTTTTGGGTGGGTTTTTTTTGTTGATGGTTTTTGGTTGTTGTTTTTTTTTTTTTTTTCTTTTGCTGATATCATTTGTAAAGATCAGCTCTGTGGCTAGTTCAGAACATTACAATGCAGTTCTGTTATCCAGTGTGGTAAGCTTGCAGGGGAGGGAAGGAGTACTGGACAATTACAGGGTGAGAGAATACCAAGAGCAACATGCTGACCTAGAATTATTTACCAAAAAGCAAAAACAAATGTATCAGAAAAAGTTCTGCTCTATATGACTGAATATGATAGAAAAGGGACCTACAAGTTTAAATTATTTTAACTTTATAAGTTAAACCTTCACTTCCTTAGGATAGCAAGTCACATCAAAATGCTACCTATGCTTTTCATTCAATTTATTGTTCTCTACCAAATGAGTAAAAATAATCTCTTAAGAGTGTCCTGTAGTCTGAAACTCCATGAGACTTTCAAACTTCCTAAGATGTTTCACTAACATTCCCACATCCATGTGTTTTATTTTCTTCAGGAGATATCCATTCTCATCAGGCAGGTGCACACACCTAAATTCTGCTGCCATCCAACTCCAATATGTAGATAGATGCTGCTACACTTAGCTTTGAATACCTCTGCCATGCACAAACAACTTTTGAGCACAAAGCATCCAGAATCCACATGAGGTAGATCAGCCAGGAGCTACTCTGCTAATGATGATTCATGGAGTGTGTGCAGGAAATGGCAGGGCAGGACATATGTAGGACATGAAAAATTAGTCATACTTGCACTGAGACATCCTTTACAAACAGGAACTCTGTCAAACCTAAGCAGTTCAGACTAGTCTAAATGAGGGCAGATCTTATGCATTTCATTTTAATATTTCTTGAGTGAAGTCTCAGGCTTATATATTCTCATATATAAACTAGCAGATGTGGGCTATACTTTGTACAGGACTACTAGAGGTATATTACTGGAAACTTTTTCCCCTTCAAGAATCTGTAAAACAGGGTGTATGCACTAGACATGAATCTATCCTGCTCTCAGCTTTAAGTGGCCATGCTTGCAGGGGCAAAACCAGAGCGAATAACTCAGAGAAAAAACATCACAAATTGAAAATGTACCCCCTTGCAGCCAAGTCAGATCTAGACCAAGGGATGAAAAAGTGGAATTTGTGCCTATCTTGTAGTAGTTATGAAACAGGTCTTATATAGTTGTGAAAAAATGAGGGGCATTTAGAAGTTTAAGAGTTTTAAAAATCTTTTTACAAGATATTGATCAAAATGTTTAAAAAAATACTTACGTGCTGATCTATATACCAGCACAAATGAAGTTCATATGAAACTTCTTGTAAAATTTGTAATTCATACAAAGTATTAAATGCAGATTGTTATTTCTCTCTCATCAGCTGATTCCAGCAATTCATTAGCTTAGATTATGGAAACATTTAACTGACTTGTTTGTTATATAACTCCATTTCAATGCAAATTGACATACTTTTTCAAAATATCATCAACGTTGTCCAGCAGAAGAAAGAGAATTTATATGTGTATTGCTCAAAAAGTAATGCCTCCTATTTATTTTCATATTTCATATTGCAAAAGATACAAAGACCACAATAACACTTGTGTGTTTTAAAAATTTTAAATTTTAAGCAAAAATTTTAAAATCTGAGAAAATTTTAAGCTACAAAACACTGTTTTTAAACATAGTTATAACCATTAGCTATGGTCAAAAGCCTGCATGCTGCTTGAATAAAAATCTGTGCCAACAGAGGTGACTTGCTCTTGCTGTCACCACTGCTGAAAAGTGCTACCCACCACCTCATTCTGCTCACATCCACTGTTTGGTCTCTATAAACATTCAGCAAGTGTTGATGAATGTCAGTAGGAGCTATTTTTTCTGCATGGAGGAATTAAATTACATTTGCTTCATATGCACTTCCATGTCAGATACCATTTTGTCAGACTGCTCCTCTGCTGTTGCAGAGCAACAGAATAATAGGCTATTGGCAGGAAGGTATTGTTGTACTACCAGCTTTTTCTTCTGCCATTGTGGGCCAACATAATAAATTAGGAGACATTACCTTTGGAACAGCCCTTGTATTTGTGTGTTCATGTGTACTTGTGTGTGTGGGTGTGTTTATATGTTATTGATAAACACTTACACATAGTTCATTTTCAGCTTTGAAATCACTAGTTCTGTATTAAATTCTGGCATTCATAATTTACTGGAAATAGTTATTACCATTGCTTCAGGGAATGCAAGCACAATGTAGCAGAGATTTCTCTGGTCTTAGTTGTTACATCAACCAGACTAATTCGAAGCAACTTGAGCAGTTATATATTTACATGCAGAGGGCTGTGTTTTAGCAGTTTACACACATATGTCTGATCTCATTCTCAGCAAGAGAAGTGGGAGGAAGAAGCAATCATTCCTAATGGCAAAATATAAAAATAATGTTTCCTTAAATAATGTAGAAACCAAAGGGAAAGTGCACCTGAAGGTTTTATTCCAAAATGATCAATTGGAAGTGACCATTCAGATCATGAGAGCTAGATTTCAAGAAGTGAAAATGCACAGTTATAACATCTTCACGGAAAGGGGAAGTTTGGATTATTCTTCTGAATTTGAAATGCTTTATTACTCAGAATTATTGATGGACATGATCTGATGCCTTTACTTCAAGGAAAAGTTATGCGGTCGAAGCATGAATTTCTCTTCCATTATTGTAATGCATATTTAAATGCAGTGCGCTGGCATCCGGGAAACAGTAAGTGAATTCACCTACTCAAACTTTAAATATTTAATATATTTGTTATTGCATCTTAAAAAGAATTGCGAAAAAGCCTTTGACTGTAGTAACAAATTACTTAAAATATCTAACCATTCTTCATTATTTTTTTCACTTTTCATTTGCTAAAATACACCTATTTACAGAGCCATTTCACCATCTTACATTTACTTACTGCTGTGCATTAATATTACATATGAAGCCAATATAGGAATCTACTTTTTAAATTTGCCTGAAAGATAGTCTGTTTTGCAGAACAAAGTAGTCAAGGTTAACTGTTACACCCTGTCTAAAAATGTACAGATAATAGGATGTGTTGCTGAGTAACATCTTGAATATGATGCCAATCTGACCATTTTTACTACTGAAATAACAAAGTATAGAAGTATCATTGAATCATAGTCATTATTCAGTAATTTAATTCAGAATTATATATAACCTTTTCATGTTTTTTATGAACTAAATAAAGCTTTGCCTACCTATCGTCTACTTCTTAACCAAAAGCTCACTATTTCTGATAGCATTGTCCAAAACAATTAGAGCATGTTTCCCTTCCCATAAAAATCTCAGGACTGAATGAAATTAAGTGTGTGTTTTTCACATATCAGTCAACATTCAAAGTTATTTATATTACTGCTTAAAAATTGAAGATTTGAAACAATCCTTTGATGTAGCATTTTTGGTTAAGACAACTGTTATATGTAATACTTTCCCTTTTTCTAGTTTCAAGGCTAAGGTAGAGTGTAAGCCTGCAGATGACCAATATGACCAATTTTCCAACTCATTTTGATTCTACAAGTCCTTTTCCAAAGCACTGAAAGTAAAAAAAAAAAAAAAAAAAAAAAAAAAGCTACATCAGTGTTTTGTATTTACTACAACTTTACATCTTGCATTTGATAAATAACCATAAGGAAGAACCAAACAAAAGGAAAATGTGTTTAGCTAGGGTTGTTTTGTTTGTTTGTTTGTTTTTTGTCTGTGGTTGGATGTAATTATTCTGCTTCATAGAGACGTAGGCAGAGCTCCAAGCAGGCAGAAGTGTTTTCTCACTAATACGCATTTGTGAGATAAAGTAACCCCTTATCTGAGCAAAGGATCAACTTTGTTAATCACTGAAGGGGAGTTTAATGAGAAATGAAGGGGAGCTTCATGATGAGGGACTAGACTAGTCTACTTTGTTTACTCAGGGAAAATAGTTTAGAGTGTGATATTCCTTTTATCCTTCCTCCAAAGCAAGTGAAACCTAAAGCCTATTCAGAATCTGGCAGTAACATTGTTGTAAGACTGGCATATTTCAGAATAGAATTACATTTTGTTAGCCTGCTACGTAGTTTGAGAATAAGCAATAGTTCGATAATAATTTCTGCTTTCTTTGTATCAGACCTGTAAAATTGCTCTCCTTCAGTTTTACTTCTTCAATCTCAGATCTTCAGAAATGCCTTTTCAATGTAGACAATACAATCATATTTTTAAATCTATTTATTGCAGTAAGCTAAAGTTTTGTGCCTGCTTATCTCTCTTGTGTGTTACTGTTGTATAGAGATAAATATTCTTGAATTAGAGCTGCATGCACCCTGATATTATCAGCACTGTGAGTACTCATGTGGAAAAATGAGTATGATTGTTTTTTCTTCTGATATCTCAGCAACATGAAGTTGTTGATAAGCTTGAAGTGTAGTATATTACTAGTTAGTGTATTAATTGTTCTGTAGTCTCCCTCCACAGCTCTTTTTTTTCCACACCTGATCACAGAGTTCATTGACAGGCACAATTTCTGCAAATAGTACGTGACATTATATTTTTGTGTATGAAAAATGAACACAGCTTTTTTTTTTTTTTTTTTTTTTTTTTTTGAGAAGCCATTATTTCAGTCATTTAATTCAAACTTTTGAAGAGTTTTTTTCCAAGCAACAAAGACCTAAACTAGAAGTATCCTATAGCAACAGCTCATTCGATATACTTAGGAACATATCCAAGAAAGCAGATGAAGATGAATCTACCTTCATTAAGGACAGGCTGGATAATTAAACAGTTTTCATTTAACCTCAGGTAGAGTATAATCGGTTTCAAGTAGATATGGCTTCAGTATTTAGATAGATCTGTTCGTCCTTCCTATGTCTACATATATCCATGTCTTACATACCTTGTGGCCAAATAAGTTCCACATTCTTCTGTGAGCACACACATTTTCCAGTATCCAGAAATGGCTGCAACATCTCACATCCTATAGTTGTGTCTTTCCAATGACTATGATCAAATAAACAGAACTCAATTCACAAAGGACTACCAGAAGTAGATACTTAATATTCTTTAGAACAGTCTTGAAAACTATGCCTTATGTAAGAAAAAACAGCAAATTATTGAGAAAAACATTGGCAACTATTGTCTCTTTCTGTTTACTGTAAGAAGTCTTTTAGACCAGGAAAGACTTGTGCTGTTCTAGAGTTGTATTTCCTAGATAGTTAACTACACTGATTTGAACTACTTTGAAACTATATAAAAACATGCAGCCTATAGATTATGCCTGTACATATGGGCTAACCAACTCTGCCTCTCACTAGGACTGAAGCCTCTCACAAAGTTTAGTGGAAGACATTGAGATTTTGTGGAATGAATAATCCCAGCTAGGCATTATTAGGATCCCTAATAAGAGTTATCACTCATAATACGAGCCAGAGAAATTTGGTGTAGGTAAAATGTATAGCATTTGCACACCTTTCTCCTGCTTGCATGCTTCTAAAGTCTAACTTCAGCAGGTGTGCTTCTCACACGGAATGGCTGAAAAGGACTGTGATGATCATCTAGCTTCAATCTCCCTGCTATGTCCTGGGTCACCAGCTACCAGACCAGGCTGCCCATAGCCACATCCAGCCTGGCCTTGAATGCCTCCAGAGATGGAGCGCCCACAGCCTGCTTGGGCAACCTGTTCCAGTGCGTCACCACCCTCTGTGTGAAAAACTTCCTCCTGATATCTAACCTAAAGCTCCCCTGTCTGTTTAAAACTATTCCCCCTTGTCCTATCAGTATCCACCCTCATAAACAGCCATTTCCCCTCCTGTTTATTTCCTCCCTTCAATCACTGGAATGTCACAGTGAGGTCTTCCTAGAGCCTTCTCTTCTCCAAGCTAAACAATCCCAGTTTCCTCAACCTCTCCTCATAGGAGAGGTGTTCCAACCCTCTGATCATCTTAGTGGCCCTCCTCTGGACCCATTCCAAGAGCTCCACATCCTTCCCGTACTGGAAGCCCCAGGCCTGGATGCAGTACTCCAGATGGGACCTCACAAGGGCCAAGTGAAGGGGGACAATCACCTCCCTTTCTCTGCTGGCCTCCCCTTTTTTAACCTTTTTTAACACAGTTGGCCTTTTGGGCTGCAAGCACACATTGGCAGTTCATGTCCAACCTCTTGTCCACCAGGACCCCCAAGTCCTTCTCTGCAGGGCTGCTCTCAAGGAGATCTTCCCCCAGCTTTTATAAATACCTGGGATTGCCCTGACCCAAGTGCACCCTGCTCTTGATTTTATTGAACCTCATTAGGTTTTCATGGGCCCATTTCTCCAGCCTGTCCAGATCCCTCAGGATAGCTTCCCTTCCTTCCAATGTATGGACTGCACCGCTCAGCTTCGTGTCATCTGCAAACTTGCTGAGGATGCACTGAATACAATCATCTGTATTGTTAATGAATGTGTTAAAGAGCACCGGTTTCAAGACCCCTGAAGGACACCACTTGTGAACAGCTTCCATCCTGACACAGAGCCATTGGGAACAACCCTTTGGCTGCATCCAGCCAGCCAATTCCTAATCCATCAAACAGTCCATCCTTCATATCTACACCTCTCCAATTTACAGAGAAGGATGTTATGAGGGATCATGTCAAAGGCTTTGCAGAAACCTCATAAATGCAGGAGTGCTAACACTTGTGATAAGGCCTTGAAAACAATAAACACATACAGTCCAAATTATTGGAAGATGACTTCCTGTTACTCTGAAACCTGACAAATATCTTTAATTGCTTATGTATGTATTTGAAGATCTTAAAGCAGTGTCAGCAAAGTACTGTGATTTTCCATTTTCAGTGCATATTCTCCACAATTTCTGAGTGCACCATGTAAGTACCAATATACAAAAGCAGCAGGTGTGAAGAAAAAAAATTAGCTTTTCATTCTGCTTAGTCTGGTGTAATTACTTAGGTTTTTTAGTCATTCAACATTCAAGTTTAAAACAAATCAGGTGTAAGTTTTGCCTTGAATTTCTTAAGCTGAGATGTCCAGAGTTTTGTATAGAGCTATGTTAGTTGTGTGTATCAGATAATACTTTGGCCTAATTTAACTCTTACCACACATACTTCTGCTAGTGCAGATAGACTGATAATTGTGTACTTGCTAAAGCTATAATTTAGCCTAACTGCATGCCAAAAAATATCAACAGCTCTGTCTCTAGCACATTAGTGGCCTATGAATCAGTACTATTAAAAATGTATTGCTATGACAACTTAATTATAAGGAGAGAATTCATCAGATACAGAGCAAATCTTCAGCTGAAGGGAACTATTGCATCTTTCAGGTTATTCTGACTATGGGCAAAATTTGAATTTGATAAGGAGGGAATATATTGTAACCCTGTTTAATAAACATTGAAAAATCTGATGCAGTACAGCTTGTATTATAAAGAAGTAATAACATTCACAATATTTTGTTACTTATAATACAAATACTATAATATTTCTGATAAATGCTACAGTGACTGTGCTGGTAATCCTTTACATTTTCTGTTTCAAAATGGATTTCATTATTCAGTGCAAGCTATTTTTATTCCAAAAAAAGGGAGGAATATAAACATGTAATACATGTTTGCATTATTATAAAAATATTTAGTGGCTTGAGTGCTACATTTCTGTGCTAGTAAATGATTACAAAATTGGCATTTTAGAATTATTTGTTTCCATATGCTGAAATTGTCATTCAGTAAAACAACAACAAC